ATTTATATCATTTCAATATCTTCTGTTAAGATAAGAGCGTCCACTGTTAAATTAATGAGTAAGTCAATACAGAAAGCAAAGCTAAAAACCTATGTTCTGCAGAAAGCCTCTCCACTTCCACCTTTATGTTCACCTGCTCTCTTCTGTGCTCTTCCCAATGCTCTCCCACCCGAGCCGGGGCTGGAATTCTCTGTGTTTGGGGCTCAGTGGTGCATCTCTCGCTGGAACCTGTAAATTAGTGTAAGTAAGAGGCACAGATCTTGTTTCATTTTCCTCAGACTATTTCACTCTGTTTTAAAAATATGCAGTGATAGAAGTTCTTACGCACTCGTCTTGGGACCATGATGAATATTTTAACTGAGTAATTGGTATAATTAAAGGCAGTCGGGTTGTATACCAAATACTATATTCTTGTTACAGTCATCGATTTATCTGTATCTATCCTACCTATTTATCTATATAACAAGACTATCAAAATTATAGATAGATACAATATGTATTACAGGACAAGTAATTTAACATTATATATATATGTGTGTGTATATATATAATTACCTTCCAAAGTATTACTAGTGGATTAATAAATCAGTAACCAAACACTGTAAATAAGACTGAAGAGAGATTATGCTGTCCCAGGATAAGTGATCATGACTGTCAGTATGTGAAACTCAGATAATAAATTACATTATCTGAAACTCTGAGGCCCAACATAAAAGATAAATGTGTAAGCAAGTACGTCTGAAAGGAGGGGGTCATTTCTGCTTTGTTCTCTACTCCCCAGAATTGCTACTCCTAGGGAGTGGGATATCTACAGATTTCACAGTTACTAGTTCATCAGTTTTATCTCTGGGTTATGTATCTCTTGATCTTGGGGCAAATATAAATAGTAGTTAAATTTTTCATAGTATTGATTGCATCACAGATTATTGTTTGCACTAGCAAATAGTGTAAAATCTCGCCACGTTATATCTACAATTTATATTAAGTAGCATATAGAGTCACACGTTGTGACCTTGCCAACTCTAATGTCAATTACATGTGTTAGTGGTCCTTGTGGGTGTATATCCCAGCTGTGGTGATACTCAGGTTGGCATTATTTGAATCTAGATTTCAGAGAACTAATGTGTTAACGATGACTGTAGTTCACATGGACTTGTGATATCTTATTTAGAGGAATGATGACCACACACATAAGTCAGTGATTCTCATTTGGTTAGATATATGCAGCGAATAAACTATTCTATAGTCATACAGGTACCTCTTTCATGGTGGCCACAAATGTCACAAAAAGCTTCGGCCAAAACGATCTGGGTACCTACAGTCATGTTCTCATTACTATACTTCATACGCCTGTATTTAACTTAGATTGTACAATTTATAAATTCCCAGTTAAATAGCAATGGATGCAAAATTACATTCCTCTAGTACAAAGCAATCAGATCAATAGAAATGAGTGACATCAACTCTACCTGTAATGGTTGACGACGGCTGACTGCATGTCCAGGTCTGATGGAAGGAACAGGTGTCTGAAACCTGGAGGTCCAACACCAAAGAGAAGTGGATAATCCGAGTTAGAAAAGGATGTGTCATGATTCAGTGTCATGGTTCAGCCTCGCAGCTTTGTAATACTCCTAGGCATTCCTAGGCATTCCTAGGATCAAGCCATCTTCCTTGGCCACCAGCTTACTTATGAGTTGACCAAAGAGGTTAGACCTTGGAGGCAATGTGAATCCTGGCAGATAGTATTAATGTGATTTCAGTGTTTTGCATTATTTAGCAGAGAGAAGTAAGGTGCAGACAGATGGCTCCAGGTAATCAGGAAGGCCCGATTACCCTAGTTGGGTACTTAGAACCACAGGCTGTTAGGAAGCACGAAGTTCCCTGAAGTTGTCTTATTGCTTCCGTGACTCCCTCTCTTAACACAGAGAAATAAGCATCATGAAAATGAATGTGAAATATGATTGCATTAGGCCAAATGTGACCAATGAAACAAATTAAATTAGACCATTGACTTAGGCATGCCTGTAAAACCAAGATCCATCACTGAAGGAGAATTTGCACGTCCTTTTCCTTTGTATTAGAGGAGCTTCTGGCTTGTTTCAGTGTTTGGTAAAACTTATAGAGGTTTCCATTGTTATCAGTGAATAAGTGAGTTAGTGATCAGTCAATAGAAAAGTAAATTCAGGGGACCAGAGCCATACCAGATCTATTGGGATCACAGTGACTGTATGTCTAGGAGGACACATGTTCCTTTCTCAGAGGTCCATCCAGCAGCAGGACTGCACTCTGTCGTCACCTACTTCATGTTTTAATTCCCTGAATATCAATCAAACAATAAAGAAATATATATATATATAAAAAAGGAAGGATCCTCCCAGGGAAACAAGGCCCATGTGAATCTTATAATTTTGTGTGAAGATGAGAGAGGGTGTAAATTATAGATAATGTCTCTATTCTTGGTGAGGTTGAAGTAGTTCATGTTGTAAGACATGATTGTCAAAAGCAAATGCTTACAATGTTGAAGACCTGGAATCTGTGATTCATGAAATATATATATGGAAATTGGAGGGTAATTAACATACATTTTAATATATCGGTGATCTATGAGTTCACCACATGAATAATTAAAATCTGAATGTAGATGACAGACAGAAGTGCCGAAAAGAAAGAGAGGATATAATTACATGGTATCATTTGAGTAATGATTGGTGAATATAAAGAAAACAGACATCGGAGGTCAAGGACATTGGGGACTTTACTGCCAAGTTGTAGATACAACCCAAGGCATACCTTGTGAATCTTTGGTTCATGGATATAAAGTTCTCCAGGAGGATTGAGAGGTGTGCGTTGGCTGAATTGAAGTTAGGTAGGTAAATGATGTTCCAGAAGTAAGTAAGAATGGTAGCAAATGCTAGAGAAGACATTTTGGTAATACCACTACTCACAATAACGGCTAGTGCAGACAGTCTTGTCTTGAAATAGGGTCTCCATAGAATACTTGATAACCTATGTGAAAAGGAAGAAACACCACCACACTCCCTTAGAGAGACAACCTGTCATCTAGCCCCCTTCAAATGTAGAGATTGTGGGCCAACCTTGAGAGCAAGTCTCAGTATTTCTATTTCCTTCTCTGTCTTCTACCATCCCTAGAGAAGACGCAATGGTTTGCAGTGATGGACAGTTCCTGGGTGTCATGGCAACAGTTCAGAGTTCATGGTGACTTGACAGCTTCTGCTTTGAACCTTCAGTCGGCATCTCTTGATAGGTATGGAGGGTCTAATCACAACACCAAATTTGGGTTGTTAAGCAGAGTACGAGGAAAAAAGAAAAAAGAGTTAATCTAGTGTTAGCTTGAGGACTAGGCAGTGAGGTATCCCAGCACAGGATCCTCTTCTACAGTTTGGTCTCCCGAGTGTACCAGACTAGCCATGGAGTGAGCCATTCCCGAAGGCTCAAGAGAGGAGCCCAACGCAGGACCTGTGATGAGATCTGATGGCGTTTTGAGTGTTTCTCGATGACAGCCATATGAACAGATATCTGAGGTCAGACACAGAGCAAATGCAACTGGGCTGTATTTTAGTGCTTGCCTATGGCCTAAGAAAAGTAGCATACTTTTGATCATTGCCCTGATGGTGACCTATTTCCAGTAGGCAAGAAAACATGGCTGACAGATAGGCAAAGTTGAGGTATGGGGGGGGGAGTGGCACCAAGGCCTGTGCTTACAGGCACAGCGGCACACCTTAAATCCTCTAGGGGGTGTGTTGAGTTATGGGAGCAATGAGGTGCTGACCCCATGCAGGATGTTGTACTGTAGACAGAGGCTAGCCTATTTTTTCCTGGGAAATGGCAAGAAATTACTCTCCCCTGGAAAGAGAAGGTAGAATTATAGCCTAGGCAAAGCTTATCAGCCTAGGATCTGTAACTGTGGAGGGCACAGAATGGTACCAGACAGAGACTCAAAGATATCTCTCCCTTCTCTAACCTGTACTCCTCAGAAAGGCTGACTTGACTGACGGTACAAGTGTGCTCATATCCACAATCTTCTTCAGTCTTCACTGTGACAGCCTTGAGTCCTGCTGACTGAGAGGCGACATCTTGATCTTCCTTGGCCACCAGCTGACAGGTACATGTAGTTGGGGGACAGTGTTTCAGCATCAGTACAGTAGCATGAGTCTTAGAGCGTTAGCGCAATAGTTAGTCCTGATTTCTGGGTTCTTCTAATGGCTGTTCTTCAGGGGGCTCCACATAGAATATTCTAGTATCGTGTGATCAGAGCTCTGCCCTCAGCACCCAGTAAGAAACCAAGCTGTGCAGTTGGCTAGGGAGAGAGGGGGCCTCATCCAGGACCGATGATGAGATCTGGTGGCGTTTGAGTGATAACTCCATGAACGCCAAGCATCCAGAAATCTGAGGTCAATCCCGATACCTTGCTAAGAGCTAAGCAGTGGATGGAGGCCCATAGGCATATGCCTGTCCCTTGTGGACCTGTGGTGTGAGGTGAGGGCTTGAGGGCTCTTTGATCATGTTACCCAGAAACCAGGCCTGGGCAGCTTGAGGTCTGCCCTTGATTGGGTCAGACTGGCCTTTATAATCTACTTGCATTTGAGGGGAGGCCACACCCATTTTCTTAGAAAGAAAGCTTGCAGGATAGCACCTTTGTAATGCAGAAATCCTAGGCCAACAGAGGCACTAAATCTCAATATTTCTTTTCTTTTCTGTCCCTTCTGCTCTCCAGGAAGGTGGCTGTAGTGATGGTAGAGGTTTCCAGTGATGGACAGTTCCTGGAATGGCATGGCAACATTCCCGAGTCCATGATGACTTGAAACCTCCAGCGCTGATCTTCCTGTGGGTACCTGCTTGTAGGTATGGAGGGTCTTATCAAAGCATGTGTAGTTAAGCAGAGTATAGATAGAATGAGTTAGCTTAGTGCTATCTTGAGGAACCATGCAGTGTGATGCTACACTTGCCAAGGCATGAGCCAATCCTGAGAGGGATGAACCGAGAACAATGAGATCTGGTGGCATCTGAGTGGTTCTTAATGACATCCATGTGAACAGAAATCTGAGGTCAGATACAGAGCAACTTCACCTGGGCTGTCCTCCATTGCTAGCTCCATTAGCAAGGAAAACATGGCTGTCTTCTAGATGAAGTGGGGTTAAATCGTGTAGAAACGCAACCTCACATGGGGAACTCACAGCTTGGAAACCCCAAGGGGCAGGCATGTTGAGAGACAGGAGTGCTGAGATGCCGCCCCCATGCATTGTGCCATAGTGTGGACAGGGTTCTGCTATTTTCCCTATTAATGGCAATAAATTAGTCTTTTTTGGGAGGAAAAGGTACAGGTGCAGCCTAGGCAAGCCCATGAGCCTAGGTTACCTCACATGAGCATAGCATGGTCTCAAGAGTGTCTCTCCCTTCTCTGCCCTGTATTCATCAGAAAGGCTGATCTGGTTGATGGAGAACCACCACCCCCTCCCTGCATGTCCCAAGGCTTGTGCGGAGTCTGGTTCAAGGTCTTCACAGGTATTTGTTAGTAATTGTTTATTTTACACCTATATCCATTGGTGAAACCAAATTGGTCAAGTGTATTTCAGAATATGGACTGTCACAGTGTGCCCAGTTTCACAGATGGAAAGTCTGCTTGTGAGTCTTGTGGATTGTTGGATTTTTTTCTTTTCTTTTTTTTTTTTTTTTTTTTTTTTTTTGCCTGCTAATAGGACTTCTCATTATGTCTTTCCCTTTTTTTCTGCTTCTCCACAGTGGCTGATTGACTCATGTCATCCCAGACGTTTCCTGTCATAAAGACTTCACTTCAACACCACTACAACTGGCGTTCACTTTAGTTTCATGTTTCAGGCAGATCATGGTAAAACTGCACGGTAATATTACCTAGTTCTTCCTAAGTAGCATGTGTAAGATTAATAATATAGCAATAGTTTTAACTTCAAAATTAAAAACCAAACAGAGTTCAGCTTCCACATAGTTTTTTCATTTCCTTTTCTATTTCAAATTAAGCTTATCATCTCCATTTTTCGGTTCATTTTTTTTACCCAGTAAATTTATGTTATATATGTTAAAATTGTGTTTAGCGTATCACTGCTTATATGCATATTGTATTTTGTATTAACATTCTAATTCCTATTAATAACCACTAGGTTCTTCTAAATTTCAAGCCCCAGTTGCATGTCACTGCGCCCGTGGTAGCGTACGATTCTGGAGGGTAAGGAGTTACTCACATTATTTTAGGTAAGAATTAGGTATTATCGCTGTGTAAGTCAAAGTTGAAAACCATTGCTATTTTATCTGCTTGTGAAAGCCATTCATCATCTGCTCTGTTTTGTGTCCCCCACATAGGACCTCTGCGAGCTGATTACAGAATTCCCTATGTTTAATGACTGCATCAAGGTAAATATGGGTAAAAGCCGTACACTTTGTCCATAGTTTGATTAGCCTTGCTGTAGTTTTGCAAAGCATCAATTAGAATCCTATGGGTTCACTCCCACGTTGTCGTCTGGGGTGAAGATGGTGTACTGATTAAGTACAGTATCTGAGAATGGATAATAGTACATGTGTTCATGTCGCTGTGGGCACCGATCTGAATTTATCAGAGAGCTGCGCTTCTGGTGAATCTTTGTGCCTCACAAGCATCCCTCGCGAATTACTGGCTTAGGCAGTGGACAGTGTGAGAATGAGGAAAGATTAAGCCACTTCTGGACCAATGATGATAGTTACCAAGGTATGAAAGAGATGACGAATAACACTTGTGTCTGAAGCTCAGAGGTCCAACCCAAAAGATAGGTAGATATGCAAAGCTCCTTGAAGGGAAATGGCATTTTTTTTCTTTTGTACTCTGTTCTTTACTCCTCAGAATGTGTGCTCCTGGGGTGATTTCTGCTTTATTCGTGGTCACCAGTGGAACAGTTACTTCTCCACACTGAGCGTGGGGCAGTGTGAGTACTAGTTACTATCTCTGCTTTTTATGTGGTCTCTTGAAAGTTGGGTTACTTCCTTATTGAAAGGTGAGGTGGTGAGGTAGTGAGGTAGAAAAAGAGAATAGATTCCTATATACCAAGTCCTTGCCTCCATTCACATGCCCTTGGCATCCATGCTCATAAACACAAATGAATATAGTCAATGAAAAGAAGTTCTAACTATGGTTACCGTAAGCCAAATATAACCAATGATACCTACAGACTTAACTTGAAACTGAGTTGGCCTTATTTGATAAACATAGGCCCCTCGTTGAAGAAGACAGGTTGAAGTAAACTGGATCTTTATAGAGAAGTGGTTTTCAGTCTCTTTCAGTGCTTGGGGGAATAAATAGACTTTCTACTTTTATTAGGGAATTAATGATTCAGTCAAGAGCCAACATAGATGTGAGTAGAGGCAGGATGGATTGATGGTGAGCGCAGGTAGTATGAATCCTGGATAGCATCCAGAGGCCTGTCTCTGGTTCCCTCCCTCCAGCAGCCGATCTGTTCTCTGGCTTCACCAATTTTTTACTACTCTTTTAATTTCTTAAGTAGCCAATAAACAGAGAATGCAACAAATATAAATGACTAGATCTCTATTCACGGATGAACGTGAGTATCAAGGCAAAAAAAAAAAATCCCCTTAGTACACTGAAAATATGAAATCCAAAGAGATGCAAGTAACATCCTTTTTGCATATGGAGGAAATAGTATCAATATCAGATACTGTTTTCTTGTTTTGTGGGAAGCTTGAAGATCTTCATTTTAGAAGACAGTAGGATAAATATTTTTAAATTATGGTAGACTTGCATGAATGACTCCGATGACAAATAATCATCAAAGACAACGCAAGAAATTTTTGTCAAGCAAAATTTTGTTTGTATGCTTTCCTCCGAGCTGATGCTCTCATGTGTACTTATGTGTTTATCCATCTGTGTAGAGCCTGGGACAAATGAATTCCAATGCTCTCTCCTTTGCTGCCTTCTCTGTAAATATTTCATCCTCTTTTCTTCTTCTCTCCTCTCTCCCCTTCCCTGCCCTCTTCTGCCCTCCCCTCCCCTTCTTTTCTCGTCTCCTCTCTTTTCTTCCTCTCTCTTCTCTGTTCTCAAGGTGGACCTTGTGATTAGAGGATCCTCCAAGGGTCAAGGGCTCCGTTTACACCATGTTAAGGAGGCGAACAAGACCAGCGTGAGTTACAGGATTCTCCTTGTGTTGGTTTGAGTGTTTTTAATGTAGTGTTTAAATAGTGTATAGTGTAGTTAGTGATGACCATTTTGAATATCAATGATAGTTAAGGGGACTACATGAATTGTGTCTTTGCAATTCAACTATGTTAAGTAGTGTGAATTGATACAAGATGAATATAGTATAGCAATGCTATGTACAGATTAAGAATTATTAGACTCTTCGATTTAATCTTTGTCGGGGGTGGAGGTTTCTAACCCTAGAGTTCATAATTAAGTAATTAATGGGGAAAGTGAAGCTAGTTACAGGAGAGGAGATCTAATCTTGGTTGATGATGACCACCGGTGGCAATTGACTCAAACATGATGACTCCACGTCTGAAACACCAAGATTAACCGAGAGGTGAAGTGGCTCCATGTAGATTGACAGCAGTGGTGTCATTGTTTTGTCCTCTGCTTTGCTCTTTGTTTCTTAGAATGGACCTATTCACCTTCAATGGCTTCCAGACCATCAGTTGCTTGTCACGATGTGAGATCTGCCCACACTTCTCATAGGTGGTTTGTAGAAGGTTAGTCCCTGTGTTAACAAGAGGTGAAATATATTCACAGTAGGTCAAAGGGTAACAGATTTTATATATGGAGATAGTATAGTAATTAGTAGTTAGCATAAAATTGTTAGATTATGCTTATGGGTTAAGGAGGGTAGTGATTGAAAGACATAGAATATAGAAATGAGTGGGAAAAAAATAAGGCCAGTCTTTGATTTATGATGACCAGTGGTGCCACATATGATCTACAAATAGTAACTAAGTCACTCAGGTCCATCATAAAGTCCAGGTGTCAACAATAGAGGGGGAGTTGACACAGGCCTAATGTATGTATATGTGTATGTATGTATGTATGTATGTATGTATGTATGTGCCCATTTCCTGCTGTTTATAGTTGTATGAGTTCAGGAAACAATAAATCTACAAATAAAGATATATAACATTAAGAATGGTCCAATTATAAAAATACATGATGAACAAGAAACACTTTTTAGGTCAAATAGGATTATCCGTATCTGCTCTTCAGCCAGACATTTAAGTTCCGACATAAAGCATTGCTGTCTGAATGTCTGAATCATGGCTAAGCTGGCCATTATTTATTTAAGAGCTAATTAAATAGATGCCCTCTGTGTATAAAGGATTGCCCAGGGCTGCATAACTATAGACCGTCATCTGAGGTCAATAGCATTGTGTTAAGTTTGTCTTTATGGTTTCTGCTTTGCATTCCTTAGGTCTTTGCTGATTTGAGGCTAATTCCTTGGCTAGGAGCTCTGCTGGCGTCATGGGTGGTGCTGGGCAGACCACTGTGAGTAATGGCTTGCACCTTTTCTTAAGATATGGTGGAACTCGATGGGTGACTGAAAAATATGACATAGCATTAAGGATGAATGATCCATAGAGTGAGAGCCACAGACAGGATTTCAAGTAGTCAAATTATTTATAAAACACTGAGGATGATTAATTAAGGCGAGAACTATTCCCCACAGATTAAGGTTGTTGGAATAATAGTCTCTCGAATTATTATTAAATGATTATTGAACTAATTATCAATAATAGATGAAGAGTGATTGGAAAAAGAAAGAAACAGCCATCATTGATAATGATCACTGAGGACGCATGAGTCACGTGTCTGACTACGTGTCTGGAACTTTGAGATCTCCTAAAGAAGTAACATAATCCGTTCTCTTCTTTTATAATTTTCCTCTAAAAAGACTAAAGGGCCATATAATATGTTCATTTTCCCCTGTTATAAATTCTATTCAGTTCTTATAATTGTATCAGTGCGAGAATGGAATGGGTAAGGCATTGCCCAATTGTCAAAAAGATGAAGAGAGTCTAGACACAGATTAGTACGTACAGAATTTTATGC